AATGAAAGGAAATCTATTCTAAAGACTAATATATTGTTATGGAAAAATAACATATTTGTCAAGACATTGTTGTAGGGAAAAATGTTATAACTCTGATAAGGGAAAATTACACAGCTTTATATCATAAAAATTATAGTATTTGAATTTTAAAAACTTATAATTAATTAATTAATTAATAATTTTTAAGAATACATTATTAATTTTGAAGACTATATTATAATTGAAAGTAACATGGAAAATAGTGAATATATTTATCATCCCCCCTTTAATTAAAATGTTATTTGAAAATGTAGAAAGAATTTAAAAAATGCTCTACAGAAAAGTTGCTAACTTTAAGTTGTATCATTTTTGTATCAATGCAGCGACATATCTTACAGTTGACATTATTTAATAAATTACTATTTTCTTCAGGCACTCGAGTCCGAATTTGTGTCATGTCAATTACATCAATGGATCGACCTGATATTCGGTTATAAACAGAAAGGTAAGATAACTTAAAACATAGGCGGAGAAGATTAAATTTTGCTAAAGTATGTCTAAAAATTTAGATACAGATTTAAAAATGATTTTATTAGAGCATTAGAATAATTATATAAGGTATTCAAACTGGTTGCTAGAATGTCAAAACTTTTTGCAGCATTATTCATATGTTAAATTTTCTATATCATTTTATTTTGATGATTCAACAAAGTTATTTTTAGAACTGTATCTAGTTAGATTTTTAGATACTTCAAGAAAATTATTTTGCCCATGTATATTTATAATAATTTATTGAAATTTGTCAATTACGGATATTAAAAAAATAAAAGTATATATTTAAATCTATTGCGTTCGGTGAAAAAATAAAATTTCTTTGATTTTTAATCTCTGTGATTATCTAAAATGTCTTATTAAGATATTTTTACACCGATTACTTAATTGTCGATGACGTTAGGTTCGGACGATAATCCATGAATTGAATTAATAAATGTTCACACAATGGCAGGCGCCGCTCGCGAACGCCAAGGTTACGCCTTGGGTGTTAGGACAGAGGCGCAGTCGAGTCAAATTAGATTTCCACCAATGTTAATTGCCGATGGCGCCTCTATATCCGGTGCTTCCCCGAAGATGCTGCCTTGGCATCGGACGCGGCAGCGGAGGAAGACTGGCGTACGAAAGCGCGCGTATGGAAGAAATTAGTTTTTAGTTAACTTCCTCTCTCTCTTTCTCGGTCCCTGTCCCGACCAATTAGGCACGTGTGCCGAGTGCGACAATGCGTCCCACCCATAATATGCAACACGTTTTACGGTAGCGCAGCAGCCGGTAGCACGAAAGTAGAGCCAGCCGGAAATACCGAGCACAAGCAATCATCGAGAACGCTCTCAGAGTCATTCTCGAAGAATGCATTATGTTGCACAGCGAGGCAATAACGCACGAAAACCTCATAAAATTATAGCAAACAATCATGCGTTAAAGATCTTCGTATAACTTCGGTTATTTTGTTTCTCGCAGGCCCGGAAGCTGTACGTGCAACCAACGTTTTCTACTATTTAACGTACGAGGGTACCGTAGAACTGGACACAATCACAGATCCTATGATAAGAGAAGCTATAGAAAACCAAATTAGGAATTTCGGACAGACGCCGTCGCAGCTTTTGATGGAACCGCATCCTCCGAGAAGCTCCGCGATGCATTTGGTGAGATTATCTCAACATGGAAAAATAGTTTTATATGTATGCAGTTTTAAAAAAGATTGAGAATATTTGAGAACATTTATTTAATAATATAAAAAAGGACTAAGAATCAACGTAATCCTTGATACAAAAAAATAATGTCCATAAAATATATGATTATCCGCAGAAGACGAACATTACATCAATGTTATAATTTTTCACTCAATGTAATTCTCATCCACATTTGTTATATATTATATTTATATTGTTGAGGGAAATTATAATATGATGTAATTATTACTGTTAGCTTGTGTCCTGCGGATACACCTCTCAGAAGCGAAAATGTTTAGCTTCATTTAATTTAAGCCATTCTTATTAGCATCTTATTGGTGATACATTGATTAAACATTAGATATATATTGAACCAATACTAGAATGATATTATCCTGAACAATACGTATTATCTAGATCTTTTTACGATGTCTTTTAGATATTTTTTATACATATGTATCTCAAAAGATATTTTTATGAAAATATTTTAAACATACATTATCTGGGATGTTACTAGAGATAATTGTGCTATTATAGAGATCCTCAAAGTAAAATAAAATGACAGAAATTGCAATATTTTTTTAGTCGCCAATGATGTTTTCGAGTATTCCGGACGACGTGTGCATGACTATCAAGTTTCCGTCTAACTCGCCGATCTGTCACATCTCGGCTAACACTTACCCTCAACTGCCACTGCCATCGGTTGTGACGGTAACCACCGGACAGCAATTTGCTGTTAATCGGTGGAATACCAATTATGCAGGTAAAGTAATTTTCTACACGCACTCCGGCGCTTGAATTTATTCTCATTGCCTCGTTGTTATCGTAATTTTAATCTTTTGTAGCCTCCGTGCAATCTCCGAGTTATGCAGATACACCTCAGGCGCAGGCTGCCAATCAGCCATTATCCATGGATCCTGTTCTCTGTAAGTATGCGTATATATACAGATGAAGTAACATTTTCAAGATGTTTTCGGGATGTGCGTACTAATTAACGATGCCGTGCTGTATATTTTTAGCTCAAGCGGCAAACAGCTCAAATCCAACGTTACAACGTCGACATCTAGGCGACAATTTTAGTCAGAAGCTTAAAATTCGCAGCAATTGCTTTGTTACCACTGTGGACAGCCGATTTTTAGTGGCTTGCGGATTTTGGGACAATAGCTTCCGCGTTTTCTCCACCGAGACAGGTAAGTTTTAATGTTTCTTAATTAATCGCGCTATAATGCGATGAATGGAAAAACATATGGAAAATTTATGTTAAATTTAACATTTTGCGTATTTTAAAAAGTTAAAGACCAAAATTAAAAATTTTTGTATTAATTTACCACAAGAAAAATATGTTAAAAAATAAGGCAAATATTAAATAAAAAAATTAATAAAAAATATATAACATTAATAAAATTCGTAAACAAATTATGGAAGCATATTTTCTTCCATAAAATTAATATTTATACTATGTTAAATTAATTTTACATTTATTTTTTTACATTGTACATTTATTTATCTAAAATTTACATTTTAAAATATATTATTTTTATGTTAATTATTCGTTATTTATAAATTATGTTACTTTTACACTAAAAAATGTTGAGTATTAATTTAACATGAAATATTCAAATAATAATCATATTATGTTAAATTACAAACATTTCGATTAAAAAATTCAACACAAAAATTTTAACAAGAACGATTTTTAACATAAATATTAAACGTTTTTTACTGTAATGTAAATAAGCAATCATTAGTTTATATGTTTCTTTATCTAGTAAAATTTTATAAAAAGAGAAATTATATATATAATATATATAAATTATATTATATATTTACAGCAAAAATCGTCCAAATAGTGTTTGGTCATTACGGAGTCGTTACTTGCTTGTCGCGCAGCGAGTGCAACATTACTTCCGATTGCTACATTGCATCCGGAAGTGCTGATTGTACTGTCCTCCTTTGGCATTGGAACGCAAGAACACAAACTATTGTTGGTGAGGGTGAAGCACCGGCGCCACGTGCCACCCTTACAGGTCACGAACAGCCTGTGACGGCCGTCGTCATATCCGCCGAGTTGGGTTTGGTTGTCTCGGGATCGCATTGTACGTATTAAGTTGAAAAAAGAATCTTAGGAAAAAGAATAAAAAAATATATAACATAAATACTTTGTCCTACACTATTGTATAATAATTAATTATATTGTCTAAACGCATAATGTCTGATTTCGAAATAATTTGATTGATTTTTAATAATTAATTGTAAATAATTTGATGTTGCAGACGGGCCGGTACTCGTCCACACCACTTTTGGTGACCTTCTGAGGTCTCTCGAGGCGCCGAATGGATTTTCGTCCCCTGAAAACATCGCTATGTCACGCGAGGGCGTCATCGTGGTAAACTATGAACGTGGGCACATAGCGGCTTTCACTATAAATGGAAAACGTCTTCGTCACGAGTCTCATAATGATAATTTACAGGTGAACTTCTGTAATTAATTTCAGTAATTAAGTTTTTGATAATTTATATTTTCAAGCATATTTATCTAAGAGTTTTCATAATAACTGGGGCATTATAACTCAAGGGCATTATAATCCGGGAAAAA